AGCTCAACCCGCTATTCCCAGTGCCCGCCTCCAGGGGGAAGCCTCTTTAAGAGTGTATAAGATGCTTACTTCTGTGCAGATGCTGCCTTTAGCAAGACAAAATTCCAATCCCATTCCTGGGAGTGCCTAGTTTTACCATAAGAAAAGCAAGGAGGTAGTGATCAGACCCTTCTGAGTTTCTAGTTTTACCATGAGACTACAAAGCTGAGTCACCTATCCCACCCTTTGATGGCTTCTTTGTTTTATCCTGAGCAGAGTAGACAGCCTTCTGATAGATTTTGTCCCCCGCCTTCTGATTGATTGATGGTTAGCTGTGATTCTGTTTCTGCCCTAAAGAGTACTTAAAAGACACCACTTTGACAAGTTTCTCAGGTCTTCCTCTCTTGGAGCTCCCCTCCTGATGCTGTGGCAGGAAGTTTCTGATTTAATAAATCCTGCTTTGCCTCCCCAACACATACGCATGCAAAGAACAAAAGGTAATATGTATGTACTGAGTGCTTAAAACTACCAGCAAATTGTTGAGATTATGTAAGATGCTCACTACTGACTGACTTCAAGAAGATTGTTGTCCAGGGATATTGAGACAAGCAAATACCAGACTAGGAGTTCCATGTCAGCCTGCGAAGACCATAGAGGTGTTTCCTGGCAGAATTTAGCAAGGTCTTGGTCTAGTGCCTCATTGTACCTTTGGCAATAAAATAAAAATACGGGTTGTAGTTAACAAATTTATAATGGTTTGATATCAAAGCCAAGGAATGCATGAGAAAGAAACTTCCTGTTGTCATGGATAGACTAATTCTTATGGGTGTATTTTGATTGCTTTATGGGGGAAACCCTTTTGGACTTCAGACCTATGACAAGTGAAAGTGCCTCTCTGGGATCAGTGTTGTGGCTTAGTGGGTAAAGCCACTGCCTCTGACACTAGCATTCTGTATGGGCACTGGTTCATGTCCTGGCTGCTCCCTTTCTGATGAAGGTCCTTGCCAATGGCCTGGGAAAAGCAGTGGAAGATGGCCCAAGTGTTTGGGCGCCTACCACCCACAAGGGAGACCCAGCTGAAGCTCCTGGCTTCTGCCTGACTTGACCCTGGTCATTGAGGTCATCTGGAGAGTGATCCATTGGATGGATGGAAGGGGATTATCTCTCTCTCTCTCTCTCTCTGTCACTCTGACTTTCAAATAAATAAATAAATCAAAAGAAAAAAAAAGAAAGTGCCTCTCTGTGTGCCAAGAGCAGTGTATTTAAAGGCAGTTAATCTCAGTGGTTTTGAGTACAGGAATATGAGAATGTCTTAGATAGGCCATGGCGACTAGGCAGTCAGGTAGTAATCAGATAGTCAGAGGTAACTGTTAAGTGCCAACTTTTATAACTTCCATTTTCAAAGAAGAACATTGAGGCTTAGAAAAAAGAAGCTAATACAGGTCTGTCAGACTTGGTCCCAGTACTCTGAATGGAAGAGTTAAGGCAGACAGATGCCTTAGAGAAACATATTTCTGAAAATTTCCTCCAAAAAACTTGGCAAGTTTTTTGTTGTGTTTTATTAAGGGAGGTCTTCTTTTGTTCTTTTATGTGCTGATTAATGCTTTAGAGTCATTCCAAAGGAAGCCTCTAGGAATACGGGACTTCCTGTGTTACTCGTAAGTTTGATATGTGTATCTTTTATGTCTTCATATAATTGGCTGATAAAAATGTTGAAGAAGAGATTGCCAGAACTGGGCAGTATTTCAAAATGATCTTGAAAGACCGGAGCTAGGGGCCAAAATCAATAAGACGGAATTCAATGGGGTAAAACTTGGGGAAAATGGAAAGAAACCACCCAGATCTACGTAAGTACAAGGTAGAAAGATCTGATCTGAAAAGCGTGCTTGGTTGACTGTGCTCTCAAAATGAGTCTGGTGCTAGTTACACTCCACCTCATAGGGAGCGGTTCTGAATGAGCTGCTGTGAGTTTCACTGAGCCACTGAACGCACCTTTGCATTTGTGGGATTTACACAGAAAAGTGAGATTAGTCAAGGTGCTCAATCAGCCAGCTCCCACCCTCAGAGTCCAATACATTGTCCTCAGCTTCCTACTGATCGCCTATATTGGTTTTCTGTCTTCATTTCCTTTCCTCCAGGCATGGAGGACAAGGCAGTGCTTTCTCAACCTTTTCTGCATTCTCCACCATTAAGGAGGAGACTCAGAAAGTATATGATGCTCTGACATCATTACAGAGAAGTGACTAATCAGGAAAACAGTGCTTCAGTGTCTTCAAAGAACTCCCTGATGATCATACGATTCATTGTCTTCCTTAGCACCATGTCATCATGTGAGCGTCCCCTGCCCTGACCGCATTCTCTCCTGTACTCTTGCAAGGCTCTAGCAGGTCTGAGGAATGACGTGATCCTTCTTTTGTTCCGATGGACTGCTTGAGCTCGCCTTTCTGGTCTACAGGAAGCTGTACAGAGTTCTTCATGGACAGCCCTCGCCCTCCCAGACCTTTCCACTCAGCATCAAGCCTGGAGGAAACTGGCAGCCCTGCTATGTACAGCCCTGTCTTCCACGCTGATCTCCCGTGGTGGGGAGGGCAGAGACCAGGCACTCCTCTTTCAGCAGAGCCTCGCCCATAGGTGTGTCCTAGCCCCAGTTCTCTGCCAGCTCCTTTGAGGTTTCCTTAATGATCATGTTCCTCTTTCCCTTCTTTGCAGCCCTGAGCCTTCTTGCGTTGACTTGAGACTCCCCTCTTCATCCTGTCCTACGCCAGGTATCTGCAAATCTTTATTTTATTGTACTCTCTTAAAAAAATTAGTCTTAATGCACATATTATCGTTTATTATTTTTTAAGCGATTTACTTATTTATTTGAAAGGCAGAGTTACACACAGAGAGGGGGAGAGAGATAGAGACCTTCCATCTGCTTGTTCACTCCCCAGATGGCTGCAATCGCCAGGTCTGGACTACGCTGAAGCCAGGAGCCAGGAACTTCACTCTGGTCTCCCCCATGGGTAGCAGGGGTACAAGCACTTGGCCATCTTCTGTTGCTTTCCCAGGCACAGTTTGATTGGAAGTGGAGCAGTCAGGACTTGAACCAGTTCTTATATGGGATGCCAGGATCATAGGCAGTGGCTTAACCTACTGCATCACAACCCTTGCCCCTCTCATTCATTCTTCAGATCACTGGTATGTACATTCTACTGACACTGCTCTCACGGTCACTGCTTGTCGCTCCCCCTCTTCGTGGAGGAACGACACTAAACCCTGCCTAGGTTTCTTATCCGAGTCACGGCACCATTATGTCGCTCCCCGTCTTCGTGGAGGAACGACACAGGACCCTGCGCTGTTCTTTTGTCTGCTCGGCCCTCCCCGGGTTTGCTGCTGGTTCTTCCCAGGTTGGCTACCGACCCTTCCACCTCCGTGGAAGGGCGGTTCCCCCTGCCACTTTCCCCACTTCCGCGGGGGAGCGGCACACCGCCGGCCGGCTCTCTCAGGGGCTGCTCAGATGTTCCTCAGGTGTTCCCCTTAGATGTTCCTGGTGCATGTTGTCTCTCTCCTCCTTTATAGTCCTCTTCCACCAATCCCAACTCTGCTACCCACACGCCGAGTACGCTGCTCTCCTCCAATCAGGAGCAGGTCCTGCTGTTTATTGGTTGAACTGGAGGCAGCTGAGTAGAAGCTGTTTCCTCCTCTCCCAGCGCCATATTGTGGGAGAGCAGATGCATAGAATAAGTCTTCATTCCAGTAACAGTCTAGTCCCAGTTGCTCCCCACAACTGCTCACTTCCTAACTTCCAGAACTCTCTTCAGTGCTAACTTTATTGAATTTCTGAGGCATGTACTCATACTCTCTTTCCTTTTCACAATTCCTATTCCGTTGTCTTCCATTCTATGCCGTGAACATACCTTCTTCCTTGCACCAGCTCCTCTGTCCTGGTAACTTCCCAAATATTCCCCTTCACCAGCCTCTCCTCTCATCTTACAATCTTCCTGGGCCGTTTTACTTACCTATGAGGTTTTAGCCACCACTTATATGTTGGATGATTCCCAAGCCAAAATTTCCAGCCCAGACTTCGCTTCTGAACTTCAAGTTTGACGTGTCTGAAATGGGGCTCCCCTTCCACGAGATACACCTGGCACCCTCTGTCTCCTCCTGACCATGTCTACGTCTTTAGAGAGGGGCATCAGATGGGGCCTTTCACGCCTTCTCCCCCTGTTAGCAATCTCGATTGTTTTTCTTTTCTCACCAGTTCCCTAGTGCTTTTTCTTGTCCACTCTCCCAGCTATAGTTTTATTTCAGATTATCATTGTTTTTGTCTGCCTGGAATATAGAAGCAGCCTCAGAACGGACCCTTGCTGCATTGAAACTCAGCCCTCTTCACTTCACTCCGGGCAAAGCCTTCGGTAATTTCTCTAAAAGCATACCCGTGCATCTCCATCCTTATGGGGATTTCTTCTTTTTCTTTTTTAAAAAATATTTATTCATTTATTTGAAAGTCAGAGTTACACAGAGAAGAAGAGGCAGAGAGAGAGGTCTTCCTTCGGCTGGTTCACTCCCCAATTAGCTGAAATGGCTGGCGCTGTGCCAATCTGAAGCCAGGAGCCAGGAGGTTCTTCTGGGTCTCCCACATGGGTGCAGGGGCCCAAAGACTTGAGCCATCTTCTACTGTTTTCCCAGGCCACAGCAGAGAGCTGCATTGGAAGTGGGGCAGCCAGGACTCGAACCAGTGCCCATATAGGATGACGGCACTGCAGGCGGTGGCTTTACCCGCTACGCCACAACGCCGGCCCCAGATTTCTCCTTTTCACACAGCCTCCAAACTGTCCTATGAGTCTATCACCTTCCTCTCAGCCTCAACCCGGCCCTCCCTCCCCTGCTTCTGACCTAATGCCTTACACTCTAGCATTCAGTAATGGTGCTGCATACAGTTCCCTAAAATGCCGCTCACTCATTCTGCTCCATGTTCTGGATCCCCTCCCACACACTCCCCTCCCCCCCCCCCCATGCCCTTTTTCTCTGCCTCTCCCAACTCTGATAAAGGCTTCCTGGTGTCTCCTCCCGCATCCCTGCCCTACTGGATACTACCAGATATAATTCCCACCCCCTCAATCTACCCCCAGTTCCCGAGTCCAGCAAATCAGGAAACCCTAAGTGCCCAAGGAATATCATCTGTAGACATACGTTGTTCACCACACTGATTTTGTAGATTTATTTTTTCTATAATATTGATTATTTTTTAAATGATGGAAGAACTTTAATATACTCAAGTCAGAAGACTTGGAAGTTTCTAGTCCTAGAAACTCTATTATTAAAATATTGACAGTGGAAATGCTCTCACAGTCTCCTCCCCATATATGCTTACAGATTTTTATATTAAGATGGGGGTCACATCTCATCATTTCAAAATAATGGTATACTTAATGTGCCAGGCACAGGCCCCTTCCTTCATTCAGCTATGGTCTGGTTGGAGAGTCCAACATTAAGCAGAGTCACACAAACCAATGCAAATTACAACTTTATTCTTATTGTTGACAAGTGATAAGGAGAGGCTATGGAGCTGTGAAAATATAAGAGAAAAGGAACTCATCTCCATTGTAGATGAAGATGGAGGGGTTAAGGCCCAAAAGAAGCTAGGTGTTAACCAGCTCAGAGGGACCGCCTATTACTGAGTTTCTGCACTGACATATTTTCCCCTTTAAAGTTTGCACTTAGCAATAAACTACAAACATTTTCTTGGTTAAAAAAAAACAAACTTGCTTATGACATAGAGGTATCCTAGGTATAATATTAGATTATATATATTGCAGTTTAATCTCTCTCCTAACATCAGATATTTAAGTTTCCTACTTTTTTTATGAATGCTGCTGCAATGAATATGTTTGCACATGTATCTCTGTGGATGTCTCCAATAACTTCCCAAGGATGTATCTATACAAGTGGGAGTGCGATGTCAAAGGGTGTGCGAACGAACGTTTTTGCAACTGCCTGCCAAGGTGCTCTCTGGAAGGGCCCTGGCAGGCTGCCTATCCTTCTGCTCACTGTGAACAGGAATGACTGACGCCCCCAGATCCACCAGTCCTGCACCCTCCCTTCCTTTTCAGTCTTCTCAAATTGTGCAAGGGGACTGAGGCTGTGGAAAGTGGAATCTGAAAATATACTTATTTTGGTATAAACGTGTGTGGAATCCATGATTTATAAAATGCATGTTCCCTAGCCATCTGAAGAAACCCTCTAATTATTCAAAACGTGAGATCTCACTGGAGTTTTAGTTTTCATGCCCTTGCTTGCTGTTGAGCAACTTTTTGAAAAATTATTTACTTGAGAGGCAGAGCAACAGAGAGAATGAGGGAAGGAGGGAAGGGCACAGGAGGGAAGAGGAGGAGGAGGAAGGTCTTTCATTCTCCAGATCACTTTTCAGATGGCTGCAACAGCCAGGGCTGGGCCAGGATGCAGCAGGAACCAGGAACTCCACTGGGTCCTCACGTGGTGCAGGAGACTTGGGCCATTCTCTGCTGCCCTCCCAGGCACATTAGTGCGGAACTGGATTGGAAGTGGAGCAGCTGGGACTCAAACTGGCACCCATATGGGATGCTGGCCTTGTAGGTGACAGCTTAACCTGTTGTGCCACAGTGACGGCCCTGAGGTTGAACTTTTAAATAGATTTTTGCCTTTGTAAATTTGTTGTGCTAGTTGCCCATTGTTGTCACCATATCAGTGCTCAAATTATTATTCTCACATTTCAGAAGTGTTTGTTTCTCACTAGGTCACTGAAGGCAGAGGCTCTTTTGGTCCTGTATATTACTTAAAACATAGCAGGTACATCCCATCTGGGCGCTGGTTCTAGTCCCGGCTGCTCCACTTCCCATCCAGTTCTCTGCTATGGCCTGGGAAAGCAGCGGAAGATGGCCCAAGTCCTTGGGCCCCTGCACCTACATGGGAGACCTGCAGGAAGCTCCTGGCTCCTGGCTTTGGATCAGCGCAGCTCTGGCCATTGCGGCCATTTGGGGAGTGAACCAGCGGATGGAAGACCTTTCTCTCTCTCTCTCTCTCTCTCTCTCTCTCTCTCTCCCTTTCCTTATCTCTCTCTGTAACTCTGACTTTCAAATAAATAAATAAAAATCTTTTTTTTAAAAAAAGGAAATGGTTTCAGGAGTGAGAAAATACACAACATGTCTTCAGATGCTCTTGGATCATTACATAAATTTTTATAATTGAAATTGGATATAATAACTTATTACATATATCTTTATAACCGAAACTGGATGAATAAAGGGACATGATTTACTTTTCACCTGTTACTAATTGCTTATAAGTTCGTTCATTCATTCATTCAACAAACATCTATTACGTTCCTAACAGGAGCAGACACCACGGTAGGTGCTGGGAACTCAAAGGCAATCAGGATAGCCACCCTTCCTGCTCTTACGGAACTTACAGTGTGGATCAGGAACAGAAGCGAACTGCCCCCTGTAACACGCTAACTTGTCCAAGGCTGCATTCATCCTAACACAGGGAGGTATTGGGTTAGAAGCATTCGTAAGAAATCACATGTTCATGACAGCGCTAGTAGTGACAGGAACCCTGGCAAAGATTTTGGATAAAAGTTAAGAATAACCAGATGCTGAATTTGCTCACTGATGTTTAAATTTTAGAACTACCCTCTAGAAGCTGTGAAGAATATCTTCATTGGCAAATGTCTTCCTGAAACAGACAAAACCCTTTCTTTGTCATCTTGAGTCTAAGTTCTCTAGTTCTCGTTTTTCCTTTCCAGCGGAGCTGGTGTTACTGTGGTGCGCTGTTTTAGCTGAAGCCTTTTCCAGGGAGTGCTACTGAGTCATGGGCAGCTGTCTCTGGCTCTGCATGACCAAGTGTTAAGGAAGACCTGGTTCAACATAAGGATGAAGAGTAATGTTGATAAACGTGATGGTGGCAATGACCTTGTTATTGTTCACTTACTACTTCCCACATGCTGTTTTAAAAGGCTTACATACAGTATTTCACTTAATCCTCTCGAAAATACCTAAGAGGCGTTATAACCCATACTGGAGGGTTTTTCAAAAAGTTCATGACAAATGTAAACTAAGGAAAAATGATCCATTGACTTCATTTTTTTTTTCTCCACAAAAACAAGCTTACCTTTTAATTCTGTTTCCCGCTAGCTTTTTGCAGTAGCCTCTTGTGTTGATGACGAAACCGATGATGAGCAAGGCTGAAATACTGGCCCAAACTCCTGCAGTTCGGTGGCAGCAGCACCAGGACTGGAGCCGCAGAGCACCTGTTCCAAGGCTTCTGTTCTCAATTATCGGGCTGTTCTGTCAGCTTTTCATCACTGGGGGTGTTCAAGCATAAATTGGACTGATGCGTGAATGAAACAGCAAAGAGATGAGAATGGGGAGGGGCGCTGGGCTAACATGGATAATTCACGACATTCTTGGTAATGGATCTTGCTGAGAATTTGGTAACAACCTGTGAGATTTCTCCCTAGGGGAAAAAAAAAATGATGTGTGTGCACATGGACGCCATCCACCCCACCACAATGCAAAATTTGGGGGATGCTTGTGAACCCCATAAAAGCATCTCTGGGCCATAGGTTGAAAGTCCTGGCTCAATCAAGAGATGCTTTTGCTCTGAGATTCCATGTTCAGGTTCACGCTTGGAGGCGAATTTGCCTCTTGTTACGGCTGCAGGTGTTGAGATGGTGCCGCTGCCATATGGCACAAATGGAAAAACAAAGCAGAACACTGAACAATTCCTTCCCTCCCAGAAGAAGGAAAAGCCCTCCCCTCTCAGTTTTCCCAGCAGGCCATTGGAGACCTCTCCCTCCTCTGTTCCAACTTCAGGTGCATTTAGAATGACGCAGAAATAGAGACACAACCCTATGCACAGCCTCCACTTGCCTGATTATTTATGACGGGAGCCTGTTCTTCCCCAGCGAGCCCCGTTGCCAATAAAGAAATGAAGGGAGACTGGGGAGGCGGGGCGAGATCGCGGAGGGAGGGTGTCTGCGCGCGGCAGTATTTTTACGTTGTTGATTTCTGGTTCCTGCCTGGCCTGACAGCGCATGTGTTTTCAATCGCAATGGGCACGTGAGCTCAGTATCCAGAGAGAAGCCTGTAGGGAGAAGCCCCGCCCCCCTCCCCAGCCTCCCACTCCTGCCTGCAAGTCTGCGCCTGGGAGCTCTGGAAAACATTCCACAGCTGGCGTGGGCTCTCTCAGTCTGGCTCCCATCTCAGAAACGTATACAGTGAGCACGTGTGCATCGTATGCGCTTTCACTCTCCTTTAAACTTCTCGTTTGGACATTCGGGTTGCAGAAGTTTCCGGGGGGTGATTATGGATCCACATTGGAGTCTTCTATGTCCCCTGGGAAGCCTCTTCCTCTCCTCCAACCCACCCTTCTCCTTTCATGCGTTGTTCCATGCTTGATGGCTTTGGCACCGGTCCTGGGAGCTGGGCAGTGTGCATAGGTTCCTAGGGATTCCTGCAGAGAAGCAGGCTCGCAGAGGCAGGGCCAGGAGCCAAAGGATGTGCAGCAAACAGGTTTCTGCTGCTGAGCCGCGCTTCTGCCCTGCTGTGGATCTCTTCTCTCTCAGCTGGCCTTGGAAAGTCTGTCAACTCCTTTCTCTACCTCCACTCAATTCGTTGCTCCACACGCTGCTGGAGTCACCTTTGTCAAAGATGAAAATGCCAGCCCAAGGCTGGAAACCTCCAATGCTTCCTTCATATCTCATTCTAGACGGTAACCGCCAGGACTTCTACCAGTTCTGGAGCCCCCTACTCTCTGCCTGGCACCTAGCAGTTGCTTTCCGTGCACTTTTTCTGCAAACAGCCCTGCCACGTGTTGTCTACTGTTCTGTGCAGTCTACCAAAGACAACGTTGAGACTGAGAGCTTTTACCTAATGTGATCATGGTCACACAGCGAGGAAGCAAATGTGTCCTGTACGGTTGCACCGGTTATACCCTGCACAACAGCACCCAGCAGGGGAAAAAGTGAGAGCGTAAATCCAGCAGGGTTCCTGCTTGCCAAGCCATCTGTCTCCAAGGGAAGCCGCCTTCTCTAACTTTCTCCAGCGTAGGGAACAACACTTATTCTTCAAGTCTTTATTTGCTTCTACCTGTTCTAGTCCATTTGGTACTGCTAGGAGCTGCTAGAGATGCAGAGATTGTCAAATAGAGCTTCCAGACTCAGACACAGGAGCTTCTTCTGTGTCTCCCACGTGGGTGCAGGGGCCTAAGCACCTGGGCCATCTTCTCCTGCCTTCCCAGGTCACAGCAGAGAGCTGGACTGGAAGAGGAGCAGCTGGGACTAAAACCGGCACCCATATGGGATACCAGCGCTGCAGGTGGAGGATGAACCTACTGCACTACAGTACTGGCTCCAGTGGAGAAATTTTAAATCTTAAGGCAAAGTTTGGTTGAAGGTTCAGGTCACAGTAAATCCACAAAAGCTGTTTATAAAAAAGTTCACCATCAGTAAAATGATAGTCCAGTGACGGCTAAAGGCACTTGAGATTTCTTTAATTATTCCAAGTAGTTGCCAATGGACTGTTAACACATGAGGACATTTCCTTGTGAGTTTGGTGGGCTGTGACGAATTCATTATGCAGTGTGGAAAATGACATACAGCTCACAGGCCTCTATCCAAGTTGCTCCTCCACCTTCGTGTCCTATGTCTTCTCATTTATGATGCCTGTCTTCCTCTTGTCTGGTCCCAGTGATGCAGAGAGACCACAGTGGGAAAGGCCTCCAGATACCTGTGCTAAGCTGCAACACCATTTATGGGCAGGTGTTTCTTACACTTCCTCCCCAAGATTTGGAACCTTAAAACATCATTCTTCTCCCTCTTCACCAGGTTCCAAAGCCTACCCTGTGACCCAGACTATCACATCCATCTCAGATCCACTTCCACCCCACGCCCAGCTCCCTCCACCTCTTCATCCTTTAGATGTCATTGTAAGAAGAACTATTCTGAATGGGACATTTAGTTTCCCACCTGTTCTTGACCTATTTACTACACTGAATCAAAGTACTTTGTGAATGTAATATAGCATCAATAGATCTCAGCTATAGAAAATCAGTTCAAATCTACTCCTCATCTCTATCTGTCTGAAGTGTATTTCACTCTCAGTTTTCATGAGTGAATGGATGTCGCACTACTCATGTTCGATTTTTTTTTTTTTTTTT